GGTACAGTTCCTGAGTGCGATTAATGACTCCTTAGGTGATTTTTTAGTTCAATGTTGTTTTACCCCTAGTTTTGCCCCATTTTTAAAGGGCAAATTGCCACAGATTACCATAAATCGAATCAGTAACATGACGGGACATAAAGAAACAGGACCTAACTAATGGAAACTAGTTTTTATAAGTCTCGTTCACCTTTTCAGATTTTAAAATAGAATTGCTTTACTCCATGCAAATCCTCACAGACTTTCGTCTCTTACGTAACATAGGCGCTCATATTTCGAGAGTGGGTACATGTGCTAACACACGAGAATCGCTACAGCAGGGAAGAACTTCTATCAGAGGAATGCTGAAATTAAACGAGGGCGCGCTAATGATTTGCTTCAAAGTAAAGAATCGGCAACAGTTAAACACGTCTGAAATGCTTCGATCATTGCGTTCCTGAGATACTGTGCTCATTTTCGTAGGAAAACCATAGACTAAACAGAAATGATTACATAAATTTACATACAGCCATAACCAAAACAAAACCATTCTAGAGCGTAGTTGACCCAAGTTGACCTAAAATGGTCTCAGTTTTGGCTGCTGTGATACGCAGCTGTAAACCTATTGATCACAAAAACTTTCTAAAAAAGATAATAGCTAAAATTGGTCACAATTACAAGAAGTGTTTCCATTTTCACTGCTCTAGTGACTCCCTTCAACACTGTCCAAAGATTTGGCCAGTAAAAACAAAAAAGCAATTTACGAGTCAGACAAGATAACGCAAGTTTAATTAAAAGCATCTCTCCAAGCGCTGGCTTTGAATCAGATTTCTAACTGTTAAAATGAAGAAAGCAGGAGTGACATAAGTAAAGAGAGCAAGATTTTTTCTTTAGCATTTTTTAACTTGAGGGTGAATTGCTCAAAAAGAAGTCTGATCATAAATGTTAACGTTTGAATTAATAATAATAATGTAAAAAAACGTTGAAGGAAACAGGACTGGTCTTGCTTATCAATATCAAGTAATTTGCAATAAAAGCACAGCAGCAAAAAATTATACAGAAACCAGCAATAGGCCTTACTGATTACTGACTATATAAAACACCTAAATGTGAAATTCCCTGAAGGATAAAAATTGTTCAAATTAAAAGAAATTTCACATTGAAGTAAGGAAATGAGTTGATCACATGAGCAATTGTAGGCACGCAATATAATTTAAATCACGTTTGGGCAGTTGGCCAAGGTCTGACAGGGGTCTGATAAGAGAAAACATGACTTCAGAAGAAACCAAGGACAACATATTGACCCCAATCAAATATGTCTGTCTGAACGAGTGAAACCATTAGTGTTATTCACCTGGTTAAGTCTTGCCAATTCAACACCTTAAGGACTGTAAGTATGATTTATATTTCAAATTTGATGCTGTTTGATAACAAGTAATCAATGTGAGTACGACCAAAGGCACTTTCATTGCTCAAGAAAAAAAAACAAGGTCACAAGTCACCTCAACACAATGCCGTCAAA